TACTCTGAGGTATCTCGTGACGACATTGTTATTTTTAGACATTTTACGTTCAGTGGCGGGATTCTGTTTTTGTTAAGAGGAGTTTTATTTCCGTCACGCTAAAGCGCTACTGAGTCGATACCCTGAAACGCGTCAATGTTGGTGTATCCGCACTACATAGCTAGACTACTGGTGGAAGTAATAATAATAATAATAATAAACTTTATTGATATCGTATCCTTTATAGGATCTTGAGTTAAATTACAATAAAGTGTGGATGAAAAAAAACACAAGAAAGACAATAAGATAAAATATCATAAAAATGATATATGTATGTCTATATGCTTTCCTTGCATGTACTATATTCGTATTCGTTAGCTGTCGTGTTGTTTGGCTTAATATGAATCCGCAGTATACATGGAAAACCGTGCTGTGCGGCTCATTATCTCAATATTGTATTCTGATGTTGTTGTTCACAATTGATGCGGTAGCTGTCTCACTTAGCTTTTAGAAACAGAATATTCCAGCTAACATGAGTAATAATAAAACCCATGAAATAATTTCATAATATGTACATCACGTTTTAGGTAGGAAGAAAAGGTCGATGTTAATTGATTATCTAGTATATATGATATCGTATTGAGTATGATTGTTAGTTAGTATATATGATATCGTGATTTATATAATTAACTATATAGTTTCACGTTATTGTAGGAGATTAGCTAGGATTGAAATTGATTAGCCAGGATTTACTAGTAGTTAGTGTTTCTAAACATATTCCTATGAATTATAGGTTGTCATGGCGAGAAAAAATAACTTAGCCTCCGAACAGATTTTAGGAAACTGTAAATCTTCAACAATTGCGAGGCGTATCTGCGTCGTGTTCGTTCTAAATTTGAATATGCATGCACCGTGACAAATGAAACAACTTAAAAGATTACATTACGTACATTACCAAATACCGGGTAATCCATTATAACACATTATTAAATTAGATTAAATGGATATCATTACATAGGCAGTGCCCATATTATAGTAACATGATACTTTAAAATTGACTTGGAGTCACACTTTTTTCTTGTCTAATAATATACACGATATACAGTCACGATTTGCGCCTACGGACAACAGGAGTTAGAACAAGGGCGGAAGATAAAAGTTGTCTTTTACAGATCGTTGACACAAGTGGACTCAGACATTAAACTTATCAAATGAATGAAGTCGATGTAATCTGGAGATATATTAGACAGCTGGCACGTGGCTGGGAATTGAAATCGATGTGCACTCGATACATCACGGATGTTTCGTTAGCGGGGGATTATCGTTTTTTGGGTTGGGTTTACACATCATATAATTCGATTACTGATATCCAACCACCAAATAACGTATTTAAATGTTGTTAGCAAAATATTAAATACGTTATTATAAAACCTGGAGAAAAACTGGCAAAGCTCATGTATTTAAAGTGCGGTGGTAGCGATTGCGCGACATTTTTGTTGACAAACATTAAATTTCCCACAATCCAATGCGCTCTTCTAGCGGAGTATATGTTTTGAATCTGAGCGCGACGTGCACGAATTACCGCCAGTGACTACTTCGATACCTTCCAATTACCAAAGAAATTACCTAATTAAAGATAGGTTCGTCTAAGTTTGTACTTGTTGGTATGCGCAACAGTCAATGTTGTCATAGTGTTCACATGGGACCCATATCTCACGCGTGGGGAGCGCGGCGACCACCTCCCGTTAATAACTTGAAAGTGCCACGTTTTGGGAGATCCTCTCAATCTCGAGGGTTGTCGCAAGGGATTGTTGGACACCTTTGTGATTGTTACATTATATATACTGTACAGTAGCGACGAAGCTTTTCCGTGACGTCAACTCTGTTAATTTTTGCGTAGTCGTTTCGTCATGTAAATACATTGAAAACTGTATTTGTTTATTAACGGACGTCCACTGACCAAAACGACGATGTCATCCCTTGCACTATTTACATAATAAAAAGTTTCGGCGCTAGATGGCGTGATTTCAGGTTAAAGGTGAAGGAGTATTGAAACAATAACATATAATTTACCCAAATTTACTGTACGTATGCAGTCTAAACTAACTTCGCTTTCGTTTTAATTCAATTTTCAATTTGTTTGCGTACGACCTCCACACACAATGAGTGAACATCAAGTTCATCATATAAATGTAACAAACATTCTAGAGATATTCATATACTATGATTATATTAGAGTAGGACGGAACTACAGTTGGATGATGATATAATCCACTGCTATAGCATCGGTACGCTAAGCCAGTTTCTCTAGGTGTTAAGATTATAGGAATTAGTTATTGGCAACTAATCACAATAACCTTTCAGATCGACAACAATAGTTGTTGCCTGGATACAAATTCGATGTTTATAGACCCTCCCTATGAGTCCATAGTGTCAGGATGAACTTTTTTGAGAGCAACACTTGTATAACATGTCTTACAATACGTGAGTTATGTTACTGTTGCAGATAGACACATGCAACATTGTAATAATTTGGTCATGTCACCTCATCAAGTTGTTATGCATAATTGTACTCTCTCAAGCACTCATAAGATTTGACTAAAGTACCATATGGAAATATATGGTCATGTGATCTCATTAATGCATATAACACATAGAATATTGGAGAGAGATAGATTAACACGTATAACTAGTGATTATAATGGTGATATTGAAAAAGAGATATGACTAACATATCAGATTACCATATATAGTCATGTGACCTAATTAGTATGCATACTGTAACATATTAAGCACTATATGCAAAAGTTTAATAAGGTTCAGACATTATATGGTTATGAATAAGGTAATTGAATAAATACAAGCCAAGTACATAATTAGTGAGAATTGTGTAAACAGCACACTTCAATCAGGTTTGCTGTCAGGCTACCTTTAATTTAGATTTGAAATCCGTTAATTACTGCTATGTTTTATCACAGTATAATTGACATGATTGGTGAGCAAAATGCATGCGATTGGGATAATAAGTTGAGCTGTATCAGTAACTATCAGTATCAACCAAAGTCAAAATAATATTACATCCAGTAGGAGATGCTGAATTGTTTAACGTCCAAATTTAGTAACTCAAATTTTCATTATTTGTTAACCGAACTTCGAATTAGGGGAAATTTACAATGTTAAACAAAACTGAAATTCCATGTTGACCGTAACTCTAAGTTCGGTTAACTTTTTTTTTGTAGTTACAATTTGGGCGTGGTTTTGCAAAAGTGGACGTGGTTTCTGAAATATGGGCGTGGTCATTTTTGTAACTCAATGTTTTCGTAACTCGATGTTCGTAACTCGATGTCCGTAACTCGATGTCCGTAACTCGAACAATTCAGCATCTCTTCGAGTACACACTGACAATATTTATCGAGGTTTTAGTTTCATGAATCTATGACATTATTTGACATTGAATGCAGACTTCATTAATCCTCGTTATATGATTCACTCTGACCTGTCCACTCTCATTCTTGTTCTACAAATATACGCCTAAGATACGTTTGGTTTCCTGGTTTATGAGTGCTTTCATTGACGTCATTCCCCTTTCAATATAGGAAGATAGTCTACTCAGTGACATATATCATATGTTGGTTCAATTATATCTAGAAAAGTGTTCGGCGAACATCTGATAACAAAAGTGCAGCTTACTCTCGAATAGAACACGTGACTCGTGAGCATGGAAACAAAGCAGCAAAGCAGTAGATAGAATTTCTAGACCATCGATTACTAACCTAATACAGTCAATTAATTTGACTCAACCAATCAATTAGTTAGTACATTTCGTTTATTTGAACGATTCATTTTCTCCTAACATCATAATATGTTACAGTTTGATATACAAGTTTCTGTGACGTCATCATGCGATTTAGCTAAGATTTGCAATACCACCATGCTATAGTCCGCGCATTATTCTCCACCTGCATGGAAAACGGATTCGTGTAAAAGCCATACTCGTCACAATTGACGTAACATTTGTCTAGTGGATACGTACGTGAAAGTGCAATTCTAAAAGAAATTATTACTCAGTTGCGAGATGGGGTGGGTCTCTCTGTGAGGAAAAGAAATAATATTCAGTCAATGTTACGTGGAAGACTTGTATATACACGTAATCGTTACACAGTTCATTCTAGCTGTACTTAACGTGGACTGTGCATAAACATGTATGTCAGTAATTAAGCTAAAGGCTCAACACCGGTCAAAGATGTGTCCAAAGTAAATCTATAGTTGAATCGGGGTGACGGTGGTTTGGGGTATCAGATTGCTCCAGTCGATTTATTTTTTATTATAATTGGATGTGTGAACAACTTAAAGCAGGCGAACTACGAAATACAGGTTGAACAAACGCATTGCCTCTATGTAACAGACTTTACACGATCTCAAACCCCACATGGCACTGTACCCGCCCGGGGATACTAGTAGTTATTTTTACTAAATATAAAAAGACAAATAATATGAAGTTGCGTGAGAGAAACACGTGGTGAAATTACAGTTTGCGACCTCTGGCGACGACACAATTCTTTGACCTAGATGCGTGTAAGCGATATCGTTAAAATAGACAACTTTGGTTGTGAACTCGTTCGTCATCTCGAACATAGTACATTGTAACTCTATAAAACGGCTTTTGTATTGACATATCGACACTGCCACCGAGAACAGCATCCATTGCACACAATTTTGCCAATATTTAATAAAACTATTATTTTGTACTATAATTACTATAATTTGCGTGCTTTCTAGAAACTGAATTTATTTAATTATTTCTATATCACACATTAATTTCCATTTTTTAAAATTATATTAATTGTGTTTTTATTTTCTCGTGCTATTGCAGGTTGCTGTGAGGAACAATTAATGTGGTAAATGCCATTATTGAAATGTCCATTTTACACGCTTCAGTGCTAATTGCAGGCGATATTATAATGTTCACGTGACCTTTCTGAGACGAAACATTGTGTCATATTAATTGTCAACACGCATTCATGAGGCTTGGTAGTTTTGAAGTAGAAACCCGACGTTTTGTACGCGTTCTACAAGGAAAGATGCCACACATCGGACGAAAATACCGCTACACCAAGATCATTTTTGTACAGAACAAAAAGAAGATGGTCTTTGGGACCATTGCTAAATATAGTCTGGCACTGGTGCTCATTTGCATATTTTGTGTTATGAATACGCTCGTGGTTTTGTTGTATCAGGCGGGTGCGGGCGCCTTCGACGGGGGTCGACCTCGTGGATCACACATCGCAGGATTTCGATTTGCTGATCCGTTTGGTATGCATCTAATTAATATCGGTCAGTATGGGATCGCCAGCGTTATCTCACCGGATGAAATCGAAGGCGATAACCCTCATCCGTTTTTACTACCTCTCAACCACCCAGAAAGATGTCGACACGTTGCCAATAAGAGCGGTTCAAATGACGTCTTCCTTCTCATACTGGTTGCCTCAGCGCCAAGACATTACACTCGGCGTATGGCTATACGGAAGACATGGGGCCAGCCACAACGGTTGGGACAGTACCATAACAGAAACGTTATAACATTATTTCTACTTGGAAAACCCAAAAATAGTAGTATACAAATGGCTTTACAACAGGAAGATAGGATATACCGTGATATAATCGAAGAGGACTTTATGGATAGTTATAAAAACTTAACGCTTAAAACGATCATGGGATTAAAATGGGCGTATTACTATTGTCAAGAGGCCAAGTACATTATGAAAACAGACGATGATATGCTGGTTAACACCAGAACTATTGTCTCTTACTTGGAAGTGGCTGAAACTACAGAACTGATGGTTGGATGGATGTTCAAGAATCCTAAAGTAGTCCGGGATCCCAATAGTAAATGGTTTGTGCCGTTGGAGCAATATCCCTACGCGCTCTATCCGCCATATTGCGTAGGTACGGGGTATGTAATGTCGGCGGACGTTGCATTCAACGTATACATGACGTCACTGAAAACCACGTTCTTCTGGCTAGAGGACGTCTACGTAGGCATGTGTCTGTTGAAACTTGGCATAAAGCCCCGGATGCACGAGCTATTTGACATGCGTAACGTGCCATATGACTACTGCACGTACAGAACGTTCATGACGGTTCACGAGGTGAGCACAACCAGTCTGTACAAGATGTGGGACGACATGTCGTTGAACAAAAATGAAACCTGTGCTGCCAAAGGGAATCGGACCAAAGTGACCGCAAGCAGCATCGGTCAGTGAACACAGCCAAAGATTGTCTTTGACCTTTACATATTAACATAATTACATCTTGTAATGTAATGTTTGTATGAATATTGTGTGTGAGTGTACTCGTCAAGCCCGGTCGTCAAGTGTGATATATATGTCTCCGTTTATCTGTTTGTCTTGTCGTAAGCATGTTTAAATCTTGTAAACTGGAACACTTTGTACATTGTGCAATTTTATTGACTTAAAATAACGTCTGTGTGCACTGTACACAGGGTAATAACGAGTCACATTCAAGAACCTTACTTCAGAGCATTGTATTTATATTTAAGGTCAGTGCAGGATAGTACCTGTGCTTGTATCTTTCCAATTTATATGAACTGAACATTATTTTTTAGTTTTGAAAGAACTGCCAATATGGAACCATTACGTCCAATATATATTCATTGCCAACGACATTATATCATTTGCGGATTTCGATGTCTGTCCACGTATGTCATAGTTAGCCGCCATTTTGTCGTCCTTGTCCATAGTTGATTCGTTATTCCTTTCATATAACACCAAGTGTTTGTAAACGTTTGACTTATATCCATAGAATCGTTGAAAAGTGCAGTCGCTTTGCACGCATTTGAATAGACATGCATCGTTAACGTTTGGCGTTATGTACGTACTTCGAACGCGGCTGCATCGTTAACGGTTGGCGTTATACGCGTACTTCGAACTAGACTGCATCGTTAACGGTTGGCGTTATACACGTACTTCGAACCAGGCTGTATCGTTAACGGTTGTCGTTATGCACGTACTTCGAACTAGGCTGCATCGTTAAC